ATATACCTTAAGTGGGTAAACTGCATGGTATATGAGTTTTATCTCAACAAAGCTGTTATTCAAAACAAAGTAATAGTGGCTGGCACTGTGGCACAGTGGGGCAGGCAGCCACCTATGACACCAGCAACCCATATGAGCACCAGGCTCGGGTCCCAGCTGCTCCACTTCTGATCCAGCTCTCTGCTAATGCCCCTGGCAGTTGCAGCCATTTGGGGATTCAATCAGCGAATGGATGAACCTCTCTCTGTTTACTCCATCTTGCTCTCTGTAACTCTGCCTTTTAAATAGATAAATAAATCTTTAATAAATAAAGTAACACTGATGGCTTATTTTTAGTGAATACATTCAGCCCACCAAGCACTGTTGTTAGGGCATTATACATTATACAAACTTCACAAAACTTGTAAGGTGGCTAATTTATTAACTTCCATTCAGATAAGGAAACTGAGGCACACAGAAGTTAGGTTAATTTGCCCAGTGTCAATAAATTATTGAGGGGGACAGAAATTAAACCTCTATCAGATCTGAGTCCCACAGTATGACAGAGTTACGAAGAGGACACCCAATCAAAGCCTGTTAACCAAGCAAAGGAGATGAATGTTCTGTGGAAGCCTAACAGAAAATTTAATTCCATGTACTTGGAATGTAGTTATAAAAATTTTTTTTGCAATAGTTTTAATCCCAATACAACTCACAATCAGATCATTAGTTATCAATTTAAACATACTGTCAGAAGAGCATAATCTCATTCAAATTTCCGCAACAAGTCTAGAGAGTACATTTATAACCTCCCCTTGACATTTATAACCTCCTCCTTTGTCTGAAAAGTTACAAGAACCGAGGATCCTAAAGGCAACAAAAATAAACTCATGTCTAGTAACTGTCCAGAGACCTGGTACCTATCCTATCGGTCAGGTACTACTTACCCGGACCCGGTTCACATCCGACTCTGCGTTTCACCAAAATGTGAACTTATCACGAGTTACCTTCCCCACTGCCAGTCCTATGGTCACTCACCACTTCTTGATATCTCTCTCTACAGTCTTAAGTTTGGTGATGGCGATATATTTAAATCATTCACACTGGTGGCATTACTCAACAGGAAGTTGGAAACTAGCAGGGCACAATCCAGAGTTCAGAAAATGAACCAGGTGACCAGGTGCATCAAAGTCTACTGAACTCCTTCACTTCGATCCAGCTACTCTGACCTTCACAAACCAATCTGGGATGTGCAAAAAAAAAACACACAACTACCCTCGCAATTTTCGTGCCGCACAAAACAGAGGTCTTTCTTTTTTTATTAAAAAAAAAAAAAAAAAAAAAAAAAAAAAAAAAAAAAAAACCACGCAGTTCCCAAGTTGAATACAGAAGCACAACATTAATTCTAAAGTTAGGAGAAAAACATACATGCAATGCCAAAAGGAATCTAAAGCCTGAATACGTGGAAACACCGCTCCCCTCCCACATTCGCTTAACGGGCGCAGAACCCACCAGACTACTCCCCCTCCTCCAGGTTCGACGCCTCGCCGGCCAGGCTCCAGCCCTCGCGCCCTCCGGTGCGGCCCAGTGCATTCGCGTCTGCCCAAGTGTGAGGGCGAGGCGACGCGCTAGGCACAAGAAGGGCGCTCTCTCTAACGATGCCTCAGAACGGAACCAGAAGCAGAAAAGAGGGAAGGAGAAAAGAACCCGCCTGCAGTTCGGCCGACCAGCAGCATCCAGCCGCAATCACGCGCCGGCCCCGGCCCCACAGCTGGCCACTCCGCCGCGGGACCGGTAATTCTACAGCCCCGCCGGGCCCCGCCCCGGGCCCGCGACCGTTCCGAGGCGTTCCTGCTTCGCCAGCACCTCCCTCACCACACCGCCGCCTGGCTCCCTTCTTTCCTAGCGAGGCCGCGGCCGCCCCGCGACACTGAAGCCGCAGCCTCCAAACGGCGCAGGCCCAGGCCGTCCGGAGAGGCCCCGTCCACTGGCTCTTTCCCCGCAGGTCCCGGCACGCCCTCTCTCCCGCAGCGGGTCCTTACCGAGGCAGCGTAGCCTCTGAGGCCCGCTCCTCCTTCTCCTCAGCCGCCACCGCCGACACAGCGCCGCGGAGACCGGAACTTCCTCCCCGCCGGGCCGCTGTTTCCACAAAGGCTCCGCGCCACCGCCTTCCCCGCTCGGCCCGCCGGGAGATGGAGTACAGCCACAGGCCCCGCCGACTCCACTCCCGCCATGCTCCGCGTTGGGGCGGGGGCTTGCCTTCTGGGGCGGGACGTAAGGGCACGCTACTCGCCGCCATCCAATGGGAGGGCGCGATTTCCCGCCCCGGTTCGTGGAGCCTGCCGGGGGTTGTGGTCTGCCCTCTGCCCTACAGCGGCTCCTCCTCTTGCGCTCTCAGAGTTGAGTAAGGCGTGCTTTTCCTTTCCAAGGTTTGCTTCCTGCCAGGCTCGCCCTTAGGGCCCTGGCCTGCCTAGCTCGAGGACCTTTTATTGTCCATTAGTGTGAAGGAAATGGCAGGCAGCCTCTTTGGACCTAAAACCTAAGTTATCGAGGGCAAAAAGGCAGCTGGCCGTGCACCCACAGAAGGCCTGGTCTCCCAGCCCCGCCATTACAGGAGACTGAGGGCAGGTACAAAAAAAAAAAAAAAAAAAAAGACAAGCAAACAAACAAACAAAACACTTGGAGAAGCAGCAGGCTTTTCTCCTTTTCCAACTGGTGAGTTACCAAGTTAGGTGTGCCCAGCTCAAGAATACCAGGCAGGGGCCAGCGTTACGGAGCAGCGAGTTAAGCCACGGCTTTCAAAGCCTGAAGTCTGGGCTGCTCCTCTTTCCATCCAGCTTCGTGCTGATGCGCCTGGGAAGGTGGCAGATGATGGCCCAAGTGCTTGGGTTCCTGCCACCCATGTGGCACACCAGGATGGAGTTCCTGGCTCCTGGCTTCGAGCTGGTGCAGGTATCTCTCTCTCACTCACTTTCAAAATAAATATTTAAAAAACAAAACAAACAAAAAGCAGATCCTGAACCCAAACCCAGGCATTCTGATATGGAATGTGGGGACCCCAACCCACTTTTTTTTTTAAGATTTATTTATTTATTTATTTATTTATTTATTTGAAAGAGTTGCAGAAAGAGGGAGAAACAGAGAGAGATCTTCTTTCTGCTGGTTCACCCTCCAAAGCGATGACTGTTGGGGCCATTTGGGTAGTGAACAAGCAAACAGAAGATTCCCCCCGCCAACCCCGTCTGTGTGTGTGTGTGCCATTCTGCCTTTCAAATAAATAAATCTTTTGTAAAAGAGTGGGAGGATATGTGGTCAGGGCAGTATGGAGGGAGGCAGTCTCCTCCCGTACCTTATAGGCTGCTGAAATGAGTTTGCCTTCTGTAAGGAGAGAGATGGCAAGGTGTGAGAGGGCTCTGAACAGAGGAATATTAAACCTGACTTCCAGGTTAACAGGATCCCTCTGGCTGCTGTGTGGAAAACAGACCTAAAGTGGGACAGGACAGAAGCAGGACAACCAGTTTTAAGGCTATTGCTATAATCCAACCACAGAGCAATGCTGCTTATACCAGAATGGCCACAGCAGAAACAGAGACATGTTGGAGCGGGGTGAGGGAAGAATTAGGATGTAGGAGGAGCAGTTTTGGTGAAGAGCAGGAGCTCAATGTTAGGTAGGTTGTTTTCAGTGTATGGCAGGCAAGTGAGGAGTGGAATTCAGGATAAAGGTCATGGCCAGTGATGCCAATCTGGGAGATAGTAACACATTTCTAGTGTCTAAAGCAGTGTGCTTACATGAGATGACCAAGGGGTGAGTATGATATAGATGGAAGAGCAGAGTTTGAGCCCTAATCCTAAAGCACACCAAAGCTCAGAGGTTCTGAGAAGAGGAACAGTTAGACAGAACCATCAGGACTTTGTGCTTCTCAAACTGGATCATTTTCCATGGGTCTTTCCCTTACCAATAGTACTTTATCCTCTAAAGAAGTATAAGAAACAAATTCTTCTTGCTTTATTCCAATTTCCTTGGATAATAATTATTACCCTTTAATCATACTATGTGCCTCGCATGGTGCTGGCACTTCATTCATGACTTTGTTTAATCTTCACAATAACTGCATGACATTATCCCCATTTATAGTTAAAGAAACCAAGGTCTGGAAAGATGTAAATAACTTAGCACAGTTGGAAAGGGTAGGTTGAGAGGATTCTAACCAAGGTCTGTCCCGTGAGAAAGCTCATATTCCTAACTACTTCCCTGAGATGTTTATTGAGGGTTTGCAGAGCAGGCATCTGCATGTTTTATTTTTCTTGCACACCTGAGCTCACAGTATTTGTAAGGGTTATGTATTTATTGGTTTACTTATTTTGCTGCCGAAGATCAAGAAGTAAGAGTTGTACAAAAAGCTGTGCCAGAGTAGCACCGTCAGCTAGAATCAGGTATAAGTTTCCGTCGGGGAGATGGCTTCTCTTTTTAGAAGCAAAATCCTGGCAGGGGAAAATACAGCAGAAACAAAGGCATTGTCCTATCTGTTTTTCCCCTTTTGCTCTCATTTGGGGCCATGGCTCTTCAGCATCCAAAGTAGAAACTTTACTGAATATAAATATAGGAGACAGATAATCAGATGATACAAAATTATGGGTGAAATTTCCCAGCAAAGCAGGAAAACCAGCTACCTTAGGAGGTACTGCAAAATGATAAAGGCAGGAAGGAAAATGTCTTTAGAATTTCCTGAGGAGGACTGGAGTTTGTAACAGCAGTTAAGACACCAGCTGCATCCCCTGTCAGAGTGCATGGGTTTGGGTCCTGGCTCTGCTTGTACTTCCAGCTTTCTGAGTGTATGCGCCCTGAGAGATAGAAGGTGACCGCTCAAATACTTAGGTTCCTGCCACCCACATGGGAGAGCTGGGTTGAGTTCTGGGCTCCTGGCTTCAGCCTAACCCAGTCCCAGCTTTCGCAGGCATTTGAGGGAGTGAACCAGTGAGTGAAAGTTCTTTCTACCTGGCTTCTCCCTCCCTCCCTCCCTCCCTCCCTCCCTCTTCAAATAAAATTAAAGTTGACAAATCAACATTACAAAATTTTTAAACAATTTCTGCTTAAGACACTGCTTAGGATTCCTGCCTTCCATATTAGAGTGCTTAAGTTCAATTCCCAGGTCCACTTCCAATTCCAGACCTGTTACGCACATAAGCACCAAACCTGGGAGAAATTCTCTCCCAAGAAGGCAACCGCACACATTTGTGTCATTCCACAATGTCAGATTTCTCAAATGCACACAGACAACTCAATTATAGCAAAAGCACAGATTAGTCAATAATGCTTATCACTCATATCAAGCAAAGAAGGGAGGAAGAGTAGGAGAACTGTCTGGGATGCTCTGGTCACAGGCAGGCAGATGTCAAGTCTGTTCCGGTTATGGTTCCTCTGGGTCAGCTTGCTTGCAGAGTCACTCTGAGAGTGCTTCCCAGCAGCTACCAGCTGTCAAAGGTGAGTAAATAAAAATTCTGAAAATTTGCCAGGAGGGGCTGGCACTGTGGCATAGTAGACTAAGCTTCCACCTGCATCACCTGCCCTCCCTGGCCACAGCAGAGAGCTGGACTGGAAGAGGAGCAACCGGGACAGAATCCGGCGCCAGCCTGCTCCACTTCTGATCCAGCTCCCTGCTGATGCACCTGGGAAAGCAGCAGAGGATGGCTCAAGTGCTTGGGCCCCTGCACCCACGTGGGAGACCCAGAAGAAGTGCCAGGCTCCTGCTTTCAGTCTGGCCCATCTCCAGCAGTTGTAGCCATTTGGAGAGTAAGATGTGTGTGTGTGTCTGTGTGTCTTCCTCTCTCTGTATAACTCTTTGTTTTTTTTAAAAGATTTATCTATCTATCTATCTATCTATCTATTTATTTATGTGAAAGTCAGAGTTACACAGAGAGAGGAGAGGCAGAGAGAGAGAATCTTCCATCCTATGGTTCACTCCCCAATCGGCTGCAACAGCCAGAGCTATGCCGATCTGAAGCCTGGAGCCAGGAGTTTCTTCCAGGTCTCTCATGCAGGTGCAGAAGCCCAAGGCTTTGGGCCATCTTCTACTGCTTTCCCAGGCCGTAGCAGAGAGCTGGATCGGAAGTGGAGCAGCCGGGTCTCACACCAGTGCCTATATGGGATGCCGGTGCTTCAGGCCAGGGCATTAACCTGCTGCACCAAAGCACTGGCCCCTTGTGTAACTCTTTCAAATAAATAAATATTTTTTAAAAAGACTGTCAGTAGTAGTGACATGGTTTGTTTTGTGAGTGTGTCCTAGGCACAAACGTCAACCAGATGCGGATAGATACACAGCCACTTACTTTGCTAAGTAGTTGTAATACTCGCAGGTGACAGTACTATGGGGCAGCTGATGGACGTCAACACGGAGATGGTCAAGAGGTCTGATTAGGCAGAAAACTTCTGACTTGCCTCCTATGGCAGTTCTGTGGGATGTAACTTCTGGTTAATGAAGCACAAGCAGAGACTATAAGGTCTTCTTGGCTTAAACTTAGGACATAATAATGTGAGCAAAGCTGTATAAATTAAATTTACCCTAAAGGAGGGAAGCTGGGTTCCTGAGCTGGTGAGGAGAGAAAATACCGACTGGCGGTGACTTGAAGGGGTTTAGGTCCATCCTCTCCATCCCAAGGGAATGAATGATGATCAGGGCTTTTTTTCACAGGTTCTTACTAAACGGGGGGTGGAGGGGACCAGAGAGCTCCATGCAAAGCCATCTCCAGCACATCAGCCACAGGCCCCTGTGTGGAGGCAGCCACCCCATACTACAAGGAGACGCTCAGGGCAGGCAGAGCGCTTCCCCAGCTCCAGTGTGGGGCACAGAGGGGACAGGAGAGACTGACTTGGGGGTACCCGTTGGAGTGGCAGGGAGCATTCTAATGGTGATTTCAGACTTCTTCATCACAGAGCTGTTGGGAGAATTAACACAAGGCTACAAATTAGTTGCTTCAGAGAAAAAGGTGAGCACTGTTGTTGTCAATCTCTAATTTTGCCTCTTTCAACTGTTCACCAAAAACAAGGGCCATTTGAGGAAGCCTGTTGTTTTATTGTTTGGCTTCTAGGAAATGACAAACAGTGGCTCTTTGCTCTGGCAAATCGCCTGGGCAGCTCCTAAAGCACTACCAGTGCCTGGTTCCCCACCCACCCTCACCCTCAACCCAGCCCAATCCAATCTTTATCTCCAGGGAGGGTGTCCAGGCATTATTGCTTTTTAAAAAGCTCCCCAGGTCATTCTATGTGCTGCCAGAGTTGAGAAATGGCATTCTAAAACGTGGTTAAAACACTTTTTCTTTTTTCTTTTTTAGCAGCGGGCTAATTCGGTTTTCGCACATGCCCACATCCTGCACGGCCCCTGTGGCTGTGCCCACTAATGACATTTATCCGGCCCCCGACACGGGCACTGCCCTTTCACTGCCCCTGGGGAAAACCGCACCAGCGTCCTTTTCTCTCCCTTGAAATAAACCTCCAGTGGGCTCGGACCGAGGGGTCCGACGGTCCAGGTCTGCGGTCCGCGCGGGGGTTTGGGCTCCGGGGAGGCGCCCGGGCTTCCGGGACAGGTGAGATGGCGATGCAGGGAGAGGCGTGCCGCGACCCGGGGCTGGGCCGGGTTCAGCAGCCGCGCACAGTCCCAGCGGCGCCGCAGGCGGCCGAGCACCGCAGACTACATTTCCCACAATGCACCCCGGGGGCGGGCCAGGTCGGGCCGAGCGGCTGGAGCCGGGCCTCGGCGGCGAGAGGCCGGCAAAGGCTGTCTCCCTGCGCTGGCGGACGGGTTGGGGGGCGGCGGAAGGGCTCGTGCCGGTTGCTGTGGCCATGTCCGTGTCTGCAGGGGGCCTTGGCCCCGCGACTCAGCGGCCCCAGGCCGAGCCCGGCCGGACACCCCCACCCCCCCGGGGGTCCGGCGGAGAGCAGTGACCTGCACCCTGTGTGCGTCCTGGGCCCTCCCGAAGAAACAGGTGAGTCTGCCAACCCACGTGACCTGGGGGCGCAGGAGACTGGAGAGCTGTCATCTTTGGAGGGAGGGACTTGAAGATTGGGGGTTCCTGACGTCTCCGGTACCAGTTGCGATATAAGGACTGGGTCTCCCTGGAGTCCCTTAGCGACTGGCCCCCAGCTGGGAAATGCAAAAAGCGAGGCCTGGAGCCCATCATTTGGCCAAGAGGTTGACGTCCGGTAGGGGACAGTGGTCAGGTCGGATTCACCCGCCAAGACACACACATTCAGCCCTCAGAGTCCTCTCAAAAAATGACAGAGGTGACTTGTAGGGTGAGAGGGGAGCATCTGGGTCTTGGGTCTTGGGACTTTGGGACTTTGTTCTCAAGTGTGCACTGGGCCAGATAAGTGGGCTGCGCCTTGTACTGGGTGAGCCACTCTTTTCTGGGCTGGAGTTCCCTAGGGGAGCGTGAACAGCCTTTGTCAGGGAGGGGAGTGGCCACCAGAGATGGCAGGGACCAGGCTAGGCTTGCAGCATGGAGTGACTGGCTTACTGCTAAGCGGCTACAGCACAGCCTCCCAGATAGGCCACTCCCCAGAGGGTCAAGGCAGGATGCAGCATTGTCCGAGAGGGCCAGTAGGGAGGGGCTTGCAAGGCTCAGCCTGCTCCGGGGCCACTTGAGGGAGGTAGGAACACCGGAAGGGCACATTGAACCAACCTGTTTGGTGACGTGCACAGGCACAGGGGGCCGCTTCTAGGAAAGATGGCAAATTCTGAGGGTGTCTAAAACCACTGTTAAAGAAGAGTCCCCATAGGGGCACTTGAGGCTGCATCTCAAAGACTTCCTTTGCCTAGCAGCTGCAGGGGGGGCTAGGGTGGATTCTGGTGTGATTCACTCAGGCCCCTTGCCTGAGTTTCCAGGGTCAGTATCCAGAGAATGGTCCTTTTGCCCGGACATCCAGACTGAGCTGGGAGATGCTAAGGCGTTGCATGATCTCAGGTGGCAGAGGAACTGTGGTGAAGGAAGCATCCACTGTCTCCCGCCAGCTGACCCTACCACACGCAGTTATCATGCTGGTACCACTCATGAAGCCCACGAGGGACCAGGGGAAAGTGGGCCTTCAGGACAGGCATAAGCATTGTAGTCCTTGTTTGGGTCTTTGAACCAGAAGAACACATGGCAGGGACACACGGCAGACCAAGGAGTTAAACTTGGGAGAGACTTCCCAGAGGAGCAGAGAGCCAATGGTGCACTCTCACAACCCTGGGGCCGGAGAAGAGCCAGTTGGTCTGGAGGAATGCCTATTCCTAGGCCCACACACACCTCTGTGGCCCAGCATTACAGGAGGGTCACTTGAGGCCACAGCTCACATGGCTTCACATTTGCCCAGACTGTTTACCCGGGGCCCCTGGCTCAGACTGAGCAAACTCTCAAAGGACTGATTTACAGGACAGAGACGACTGGATCCCTGTGACATAAGTAAAAAGAATCGTGATATGCTAATGGCAGCAGTATATAAATGCCTACTCTGTGCCAATGTAGCCAAATTACATGAATTATCACATGTAATCCTCTCACTGAAGAATCAGTACTGTCACCATCCCCATTTTGTAGATGAAAAACCGGAAACCTTCAAAACCAAGCCAAGTTAATCCAGGTCCTATGGACTGCAGCCTCCGTACCTGACGACGTCTAAGGACAAGTCTTCCCCACTAGGAGGGGTTTCCGGAGGCCACCTCAAAGGTGTGATGGACCTGGGTGTTCTTCACAGATCTTTTTACTTGCTGCCAAAGACGCTGATGTGCCCAGTGTTGACTGGACTCCTCCTGCACGTGGTGCTGACACTCTGAAAGTGGTGGCAGGCCACAAGGGGGTCTTCAGTGCAGAGCACTAGCCCAGGGTGAGAGGGCTGAGGAGAGCTCCTGCAGGAGGGCCTCTCCGGTAAGGCGGCACGTGAGCAGCACCCTGCGGGAAGTGAGGGAGTGAGTCACGTGGATTTCTAGCCCCGGCGGTGAGATAGGCGAAGTGAGGGTGGGGACAGCTCGGGCAGTTCAGCAGGGACAAAGTCCTGAAGTGAAACTCAGGTTGCTTACGGAAAGCCATGAGGCCAGTGTGGCTGGGCGGAAGCAGTTAGTGGGGAGACAGGTATCAAGTGGAGCCTCGTGTTCTACTGTGAGGAAATTGGCCTTCTCGCGAGTGTGGAGGGCCCATTCTCAGAGCTGTGAGCAGGGGAATTACAGGACATGTTTCAAGAGGAGCACTTGAGTGCCCTGAGAAGTGGGGAGACTGGTTAGGAGACTGTTGCAACAGTCTCCTAGAGAGGTAATGGTGGCTTGGACCAACGTGGTAGTCCTGGAGGTGAGAAGTGGTCACATTCTGGGTTAGGCATCTCCCACTTCACATCAGTAAACTGTTCCACGAAAGCTGGCCCCGTTCAGTGTGGAATCACTAACCTAGTGTCTGTTTCTGGTTGTTTTTTAAAAAATTTTACTTGAGAGGCATAGAGACAGAGAAGAATCTTTGATCTACTGAATCACTCCCCAAACACCCAGGGCTGGGCCAGGCTGAACTCCGTCTGGGTCTCCCTCATGCGTGGCAGGGACCCAAGTCCTTGGGCCATCGTCTGCTGCCTGCCAGGCAGATGAGCAAGAAGCTGAATCCCAGGCACTCCTAGATCAAGTTTTCATAATGTAAATGCACCTTTTTTCTATGTAAACATTAGTGAATCAATATAAGTCTGACATATTAGTTATCTATTGGGGTAACATAGTATCCCCAAACTTAGCGTAAAAGAACAGTGTTCATTTTCTCAGACAGTTCCTGTGAGTCAGCCCTTTGAGTGCAGCTTAGGGATGGTTCAGGCTCAGAGCCTGCTATGAGGTTGTAATCATCTGAAGGTTTGACTGGGCCTAGACCAGGTGTGTCCAAGGCAGCTCGCTCACGTGACGGGCGAGTTGGCACTGGCTGTTTGCAGGGAGTCTCATTTGCATGACCGTGAGGGTGCTTCTGTGGGACTGCCTAGAGTCCTCCCAGCATGACCAGTAGCTTTCCCTTGGAAAGAATGAACCAAGGTAGCAAGTGGAAACCACAATGTCTCTTATGACCTAGCCTCAGAAATCACACATCTTTATTTTCATGGCATCCTGTGGTTTCCTAGGTCAGCCCTGCTGAGTGTGGGAGAATACACAGGTACCAGGAGGTCACAAACACTGGAGACCTGTTGAAGACGATAGTTGGATATTAAATAACAAAAGGCATTCTGTGGGAAAAGTATTAGTTAGCGGGACATTTTGCTGGGTATGCCTGTGTCTGGAAGTGCAATTGACAGTGTTTGGTGGTGGTTTGGTATACCGGTGTGGAGGAAAAGAGAGCATAGGGGATGACTCCCAAGCTTTTTGCTGAACAGCCGAAAGAATGAAATTGCCTTTCAATGAGATGGTAAAAATTATGGGAGGCACAACTTTTTAACAGAACAATCAGAGTTCAGTTTGGGGCATATAGCCTTGAGATAACATCAAGTAGATGATTAAATCTGCATACTTCTAGAGGGCAGAAGAGAGATTGGGGCTGGAAATAAAAGTTGGAATCATTAACGTGTAGATGAAGTTTATTTTTTTTTTTAAATTTTATTTATTTGAAAGGCAGAGGCAGAGAGAGAGAGAGAGAGATCTTTCATCCACTGGCCCTCTCCCCCAGTGGCTGCAACCACTGGACTGGGCCAAAGCTGAGAGCCTCCTCCAGGTCTCCCACGCAGTTGGACCATCCTGGGCTGCTTTCCCAGGTGCAGGAGCAGGGAGCTGGATTGGAAGCAGCTGGAACAACAATCAGCACCCATATTGGATGCCGGTGCCGCAGGCCATGGCCTTAACCCACAGCACAACAGCACTGGCCCCTCTCTGAAGTGTTTAAGAGCTGGTAGTCACCTCTAGCTCTGTCTTCCACTGCCAGGTGATGTCAAAGGCAGGTCAGTAAAGTTCTAAGAGCAGGATCCTGAATCACTGCTTGGAAGGGAGAGCGCTGAATTGCCACCAGACCCTCAGGAGATTTCACGTGAGCATACAGTAAGCCTTCGTGTGTCAACCTCTACTCTTGACTTACACAGCATAGCTTAGACGACCTGACTGTAACAAATTCCAAATATGATTTGCTATTTTGAGGGGTTGGTTTGTTACAAAGGGTAGCAGATGGGCTGGCGCTGTGACATAGCAGGTAAAGGCTCCACCTGCGCTGCCGGCATCCCATTTGGGCGCCAGTTTGAGTCTCGGCTGCTTCACTTCCAATCCAGCTCTCTGCTGTGGCTTAGGAAAGCAGTAGAAGATGGTCCACATCCTTGGGCCCCTGTCCCCATGTGGGAGACCTGGAAGAAGCTCCTGGCTCCAGATTGGCTCATCTGCAGTCATCCTGGCCATCTGGGGAGTGAACTAGCGGGTGGTTCTCTCTCTCTCTCTCTCTGTCTCTGTCTCTCTGCCTCGCCTCTCTCTGTATAACTGTGACTTTCAAGAAAAATAAATACATCTTTTTTTTTTTTTTAAAAAGGGTAGCAGAAAGATGGGGCAGTAGGTTAAGAGGAATGTAGAGGTAAGAGGAAGTTGGCGCTGGTGCTGCTGTAGCTCAATAGGCTAATCCTTCACCTGCGGCGCCGGCACACCGGGTTCTAGTCCCAGTTGGGGCGCCGGATTCTGTCCTGGTTGCTCCTCTTCCAGTCCAGCTCTTTGCTGTGGCCCGGGAAGGCAGTGGAGGATGGCCCAGGTCCTTGGGCCCTGCACCCGCATGGGAGACTAGGAGAAGCACCTGGCTCCTGGCTTTGGATCAGTGCGGTGCACCGGCCGCGGCAGCCATTGGAGGGTGAACCAATGGAAAAGGAAGACCTTTTTGTCTTTCTCTCTCTCTCACTGTCCATCCTGCCTGTCAAAAAAAAAAAAAAAAAAAAAAAGGAAATTGGCTTCTTTTTTAACTTTTTAATTGAAGTAAAGCGAACATACAGACAAGTTCACAAATCCTAAGTACATATGCTCCTTGACGTAGGATGGGGTTAAGTTCCCATAATCTGTTGTTGGAAATAACGTAAGTCGAAAACAAGCTTAATACACTTAAGCTCGTAGCTCAGCAATGCAGTACACTGTTAAGTATGAATTGGTTACCCAGGATTGTGTGTCTGACTAGGAGCTGCTGTGGCCCAGCATCAAGAAAGAATGTAGGATTGCATGTCACTAGCCTGGGAAAAGACCGAAATTCAAAATTTAAAGTGTGGTTTACTGAGTGTGCATCACTTCCACACCATCATAAAGGTGACACATCGTAAGTCAGGGACTGTCTGCACAACTCCGTGACTATCACACAGTGACACACCCACAGGAGTGTGTTTTGAAGACAGAGGAAATGTCTGCACGTTGGTGATGGACGGGGGTGGGGGACACTGATGATCCGGGAGAGAGGGACAGCTGCTGGTGTAGGAGGCGGGGCTGAGCTCCGGCACACCGTGGAGGAGTTAGGCACAGAGGCACGGGAACAGCTCATCATTAGGAAGCAGAGGGGACACAAAGGCTGGCCGATGGGGGAGGTGGCGGTGGCGGTTTATGGAAGTCCTCTTTGGATGCTCAGTGGAACAGAAGGCAGGGTCACCTGCTGGTGGTTCTGTGAGCGTGAGGGAAGGAGATGATGAAACGAGGAAAGGAAAGGTATGAAGTTGTTGGGGGACGTGAAGAGATGTGGAAATGTCGAGTGTTGCCATGTGTGGCAGTGGTTCTGTACCCTCGCCTCAGGAAAATCTCTCCCAATCCAGGGAGTCAGGTCCAGAAATCCTGGCTGCAAGCCTACTACTGTCCAGCTCACTTTCTGCTCAGGCATGGGCAGACTAATCTCTGAGGACACGCTGCATAGCAGTGCAGAGCCATCTCTGGCTTCTAGGATAGCTTTGCAGTCTACAGGCTTCTCATGTGGCCTTTTTTTTTTTTTAAGTGTATTCATTTTTATTTATTTGCAAGGCAGAGTGAGAGTGTAAGAGCGAGAGAAAGAGAGATCTTCCATCTGCTGGTTCACTCCCCAAACGCTCACAACAGCCAGTGTTGGGCCAAGTGAAGCCAAGAGCCTGGAACTCCGTCTGGATCTGCTGATGGGCGGCAAGGACTCAAGTACTGGAGTCATGATCTGCCGCCTTCTTGGCACATCAGCAGGACGCTGGATCAGAAGGCAGAGGCAGGACTCAACGCCAGCCACTCCAGCGTTGGCTGTGGGTGTCCCACACTGCCATGCCTTGCCTGAGTCTTCTAGTTCAAGACCTAGACATGCCTTAGTTTCCTTGGCACCCACTGCCCTGGGCTCAGTGGTGGTAGGTCTCTCAGTCGTTTTGGATTGTTCCTCTGGGTGCCTCCTCTGGTTCTTTAAAAAAAAAAAAAAAAAAAAAAAAAAATTGGCGCTCAGCCCTCTGCCTCTCTGCTGAGCCGCCCGCCTGGTCTGGCCAGGTGTACTCTCTCTACTACCCGCCCCCCAGTCCGAGCGACTGCGCACTCTCTCAGGTCCTGTCTGGAGAGGTGCCCATCCGTTCTTGCAGATGTCCCTTCCCTAATAAACTTTGCTACTTTTACCTCCCACTAAAAAAATAAAAATAAAAATAAATAAAAAATAAAGATTTATTTATTTATTCGAAAGGCAGAGTTAGAGAGGTAGAGGCAGAGAGAAAGAGAAATCTTCCATCTGCTGGTTCACTCTGCAAATGGCTACCATGGCCAGAGCTGGGTCAATCTGAAGCCAAGAGCTAGGAGCTTCTTCCAGGTCTCCCATGTGAGCGCAGGGGCCCAAGCATTTGGGCCATCTTCCACTGTTTTCCCAAGCCATAGCAGAGAGCTGGATCAGAAATGGAGCAGCCAGGTCTCGAACCAGCACCCATATAGGATGCCTGCACTACAGACAGCAGCTTTACCTGCTATGCCACAGTGCCAGCCCCACCTCCTCAGGTTCTTATTGGGGGCATGCAACCTTTTACTTTGATCCATCATCAGACAAGGCAACCCATTACTGTGCCTCATGGGCTCTGACCCTTGCTAGGAACTGTAACTCTTGATTATTCTGAGGGATAGATTACTGGCCTACAGAATCTCTTAGTAATTTCTCCAGCAGTCTTCCTTTGGTTCTACTCTGTAGAGTGATGCTGTTGATCAGTGCTCAATTCCCACTTGCCCTGTAGTGCTCAAGACTCAGTGCAGGAGAGGCCACCAGGCCAGATAACAGCATACAGCCCCTGCCTCCCTATCTATCTGTTTTGCACATTGAGCTTCTATAAAATATTCATGTGAAAAAAAGATTCTACAGCTTAAAACAAAGATGACAACAGTAAGAAGAACTTAAAAATCAGCGTTTTGGGCAGCTACACAGGAGCTACCATATGCATCCAGATATTTTTTAAAAAATATTTATTTATTTATTTGAAAGTCACAGAGAGAGGAGAGGCAGAGAGAGAAAGAGAGAGAGAGAGGTCTTTCATCCATTGATTCACTCCCCAGATGGCCACAACAACCAGAGATGTGCCAATCCAAAGCCAGGACTAGGAGCTTCTTCTGGGTCTCCCACGTGGGTGCAGGGGCCCAAGGATTTGGGCCATCTTCTGCTATCCCAGGCCACAGCAGAGAGCTGGATCAGAAGTGGAGCAGCCAGGACTCAACCCGGTACCTATATGGGATGCCAGCACTGCAGGCCGGGGCTTTAACCCACTGTGCCACCGCACCGACCCCCATGCAGGGGTCTTGACTAGCATGTTAATCACTAGGCTAAATGCCTGCCCCTCCATGAACTTTTTGAAGGCTTCTTGTATTCATAGATTTCAAGTTTCATTGTACCACATTAAACTTACTTTTTTTTAAAAAAATTATTTATTTATTGAAAGGTGAAGTAATACACAGAGAGGGAGAAACATGAGGGTGGGTGGGGAGAGAGAGAGAGACCACTGCTGTGGTGTAGCGAGCAAGTAAAGCCGTTGTCTGCAGTGCCAGCATCCCATATGGGTGCCAGTTCAGGTCCCGGCTGCTCCACTTCTGATCTTGCTGATCCCTGCTGAAGTGCCTGGGAAAGCAGCATGGGATGGCCCACGTCCCTGGGTCCTTGCACCCATATAGGAGACCTGGAGGAAGCTCCTAGCTCCTGACTTCAATCTGGCCCAGCTCCAGTTGTTGCAACCATTTGGGGAGTGAACAAGCAGATGGAAGATCTCTCTGTGTGTGTGTGTGTGTATAACTATGCCTTTCAAATAAATAAGTAAATTTTTTAAAGAGGGAGATATGTTTAATCTGTTGGTTCACTCCCCAAAATGGCTGCAATGACTAGGGCTGGGCCAAGCCAAAGCCAGGAACCTGGAACCCCATCTGGGTCTCCCAGTAGGTGGCAGGGGCCCAAATACTTGGGCCATCTTCCACTACTTTACAAGGCATATTAGCAGGGAACTGGATTTGAAGCAGAGCAGCCAGAACTCAAACCGGCACTTTGATGCCAATGTCTCAGGCAGCAGCTTAACCCACTATGCCACCATGCCATCCCCTAAATTTAACTGTTAATTCTGTATTTCCACTAACTTTTTGGAGTATCTGCATACACTAAAGTGAACAGGAAAAGATGCTAAGAGGTAGGATAATGGTAACTTTTCTTTATATTTGTCTGTGTTTGCCAAGTTTTCTATAATGACTATAGAAAAGGAACAAGATACTTAATTTTTATTTGTTTATTTATTTGAAGATTTATTTATTTTATTTGAAAGGCAGTTACAGAGAAAGGGAGAGAGAGAGAGTTATCTTACATCCCAAATGGCTGCAACAACTGGAGCTGGGCCAGATCGAAGCCAGGAGCTAGGCGCTTCCCCCAGGTCTCCTACGTGGGCGCAAGAGCCCAGGGACTTAGGCCATCCTATGCTGCTTTCCCAGGCACATCAGCAGGAAGCTGGATCCAAGTGGAGCAGCTGGGACTGGAACTGGATTCATATGGGATGCCAGCACTGCAGCTAGTGGCTCAACCCAGTACACCACAATGCCGGCCTCAATACTTAATTTTTTAGAAGGGAATACGCAGCACCCATTCCCCAGGGATTTGCGTTAGTGGGGTCCTAGTAATGGATACTTTTCCTGTACTGACCGCTGTCTATTATGCCAGTGACACTGCCAGTAGCACCTTCCCCATAGCCCTTGGTGATCATTTTTTTGCCCCACAGGAGAGCCCAAAGGATGGCTGCTGATATGCAGAGGAAGAGAAGCAGCGAATGCCCTGATGGCACTTTGGCTCCTTCTGATGGACAGAATGTGGAGAGGGCAGAGAGCCCCACCCCAGGAATGGCCCAGGGGATGGAGCCAGGTATGGGCAGAGTGTGCTGCCCCAGCCAGCTGAGAGCTGGAGCAGCCTCCGGGGACCTGGGGTTCCCAACCACTTTCCTTCCTACTCATCCGTACATGTGTTTAGTCAGGTGCTGCGGCTCCCGTGGGAGCTGGGCCCCGTCTGCATCTGGCCTTCTGTCACTTCACGTTGCACTGACCTCTGGCTGCCACTGTGGGCTCTCCTCCTGTTCCCTGTGTCTACAGAGCACCGCTCTGGCTCCTTCTTCCCTCCTCAGCTCTCTGCTTAAATGGCATAAGTTAGGCTTGCCCTGAGCACGCACTGTATGGTATGCATAAAATTATTTTGTAATTTTATGTATGTATGTATTGTCCATTTCTCTCTTCCACGAGATAGTGAGCTCTTTGACCACGGGGCAGTCATATCCTTAATGCCTGAAACAATGCTGAACTCATCCTGGAGACTCAAAAATCTATCTGCCATCGGCAGAGGAAGACTAGCACAGGCGCTGCCCGGGAGAGCCCTAGGCTAGCAGAGCCCTGACAGTGGAGTCAGCCAGGAGCCGAGGCCTGGGGCCAGTAGGGGAAGGAGATTCACCGCATGTGGGAGGGGCTCCAGGCACAGGCGAGGTTCTGGGCATACAGCAGTGCACAACCAGGTCTCCTCCTCTGGGGGCAACTGTTGCACTGAGGAGGAGGAGAGTAACTGGCAGGGGACACAAGGAAGTCACAGAGGGAGAGGTGATAAGGTGCCTGGGGTTGGAGGTTAGGAGAGGAGGGAAGGAGCTTCCTTGCTGAGAGCTGAAGTGTGACAAGCATCCAGACAGCAGGGGCAGAGCTCCTGAGATAGGCGGGGGCATGCTGAGGGTGTCCAGAGAGCAGGTGGAGGGCAAGGGGGCGGGTGGCAGAATGGGAGCGAGAGAGGTAGGCACTGCCAACTGCCACTGCTGCCATGAGGGGTCTGGGTCTGATTTCGGTGTGATGGGAGGAGACTGGTGGGCTGAACGTCACCAAGAAGCATGGCCCGTGGCAGACCGTGGCAGGCAGGAGGGGACAGTGGCATGGCCCCGTTGGGTCAGGCCGTCCTCCTGACCCTTCTAGGACAGGCAGTCCTGCTGCAGTGACCATGGTAGACACCTTGCTGGTGAGAGCGTCTGCCAGCAGTGACCTCTAAGCACCAGTGCTTTTGGCCTACAGGTGCTGGGCAGGAGGGTGCCATGTTCGTCCATGCCCGTTCCTACGAGGACCTGACTGAGTCAGAGGATGGGGCAGCTTCTGGGGACAGCCCCAAGGAGGGTGCCGGGGGTCCCCCACCACTGCCTGCAGACATGCGCCAGATCAGCCAGGACTTTAGCGAGCTCAGCACCCAGCTGACGGGTGTGGCCCGTGACCTGCAGGAGGAGATGCTGCCAGGAAGCTCTGAGGACTGGCCAGAACCCCCGGGGGCAGCTGGGCGAGCCGCCACGGAGCCCCCGCGGGAAGGCACAGACGAGGGGGATGAGGAGGACGCTGCGGAGGCCTGGCGCCTGCACCAGAAGCACGTCTTCGTGCTGAGCGAGGCAGGGAAGCCTGTGTACTCCCGCTATGGGTCTGAGGAGGCACTCTCCAGCACTATGGGGGTCATGGTGGCCCTGGTATCCTTCCTGGAGGCAGACAAGAACGCCATCCGCTCCATCCATGCAGGTGAGCCGCCTGGAGAGGGGCTGGGGAGGGCTCCCCGGCCACGACAGAGGACAGGTCCCTCTCACTGCTGGCCTCATGGGGCTATGGTAAGGGCCAAAGGCTGCCCAGCCGCGGCCTTGCCATCGGAGAGGGTGAGAACCGCCTGGGGAGGTGACCAAAAACAACCACAGACCAGGGTCTTGGGCCCCACATAAGAGTGTGTGTTTTTCTCAAGAGCTTCCAGGGCATCGGGGGATGCCAGTGTGTGACAGGGACAAGCCCTGAGCCCTGAGGGGAACTGGGTGATGGGCTATTGTTTTTTATCCTCAGTGTCCTATAAACCCCTACTGGGAGCAGAGCTCTGAGCTAGCAAAGAATGTGGAAGGTGAAGGGGTGCAGAGGAAAATGGGGCTCCCAGGGAGCTGGGAAAGGCCAGTCCGGCTTCTGGGAGAGGGGCTGAGGCTGCCACCCCTGCCCCACCCTCAGATGGCTACAAGGTAGTATTCGTGCGCCGGAGCCCCCTGGTGCTGGTGGCGGTGGCCCGCACGCGGCAGTCAGCCCAGGAGCTTGCGCAGGAGCTGCTCTACATCTACTACCAGATCCTGAGCCTGCTCACCGGGGCGCAGCTGAGCCACATCTTCCAGCAGAAGCAGAACTACGACCTGCGGCGCCTGCTCTCCGGGTCAGAGCGCATCACCGACAACCTGCTGCAGCTCATGGCGCGAGACCCCAGCTTCCTGATGGGGGCGGCGCGCTGCCTGCCTCTGGCTGCGGCCGTGCGCGACGCCGTGAGTGCCAGCCTGCAACAGGCACGCGCACGCAGCCTGGTCTTCTCCATCCTGCTGGCCCGCAACCAGCTCGTGGCCCTGGTGCGCCGCAAGGACCAATTCCTGCACCCCATTGACCTGCACCTGCTGTTCAACCTCATTAGCTCCTCCTCCTCCTTCCGTGAGGGCGAGGCCTGGACGCCTGTGTGCCTGCCCAAATTCAACGCGGCCGGCTTTTTCCACGCACACATCTCTTACCTGGAGCCTGACACCGACCTCTGCCTGCTGCTGGTCTCCACCGACCGTGAGGACTTCTTTGCCGTCTCTGACTGCCGCCGACGCTTCCAGGAGCGCCTTCGCAAGCGCGGAGCTCACCTGGCACTGCGGGAGGCGCTGCGCACGCCCCATTACAGTGTGGCGCAAGTGGGCGTCCCTGACCTGCGTCACTTCCTCTATAAGTCAAAGAGCTCAGGACTCTTCACCAGGTGAGGGAGGGCCTCGGGGGCACTACTTCAGGGAGACTGGGGTGTGGGGAGCGGGGAGCCAGTTGATCCTGATCCTGGGATGCGGCCCTGAAGCTGTCCCTCCCTGTGGGAGTGGACGCCATGCTGTGTCTGCTGCACTCTGGTGGCAGGGACCCAGACTCCCCATCATCCCAGGGGCGTATACCTCTCTTCTTCACTATCCGGAAGGCCTGGAAATGACCAGGAAGTCTCCCGAGGCCTGGAGCAACTCTGGGTCATTGTGATGCAGTCCAGGGTGCTGCTGCCTCCTGCAGCGGAGGGGCTGGGGAGACAGGGCAGCTCCTGTCCTCCTTTTCCCACCTGTTGCCCCAGAGGGTTCCCAGCTCACCGTTTCGCTACTCCAGACCTGTCACTCTTAGATGCCTGAACTCACCTTGGCCTCTCCAGGGATGACCAAAGACCTTGAACTTGGGGATTGGAGATGGGAGGAGGCAGGGCTTCGGTCTGGATAGGTACAGCCCTGTCCTGGGCAGTCTTCGTGGCAGGAGGAAAACGCCGTGTCCTAGGGGAGCATCTGGAGGGTAGGACACATGGTGGCATCTCCCTGGCTAGGAATAGGTGATTCTAGATCTCCAGAGTGGGCAATGGAAGTCACTCCTTTGCGAACCCACTACCCCACCTGCAGCCCTGAGATTGAGGCCCCGTATACCAGTGAGGAAGAGCAGGAGCGGCTGCTGGGCCTCTACCAGTACCTGCACAGCCGCGCCCACAATGCCTCCCGCCCACTCAAGACCATCTACTACACGGGCCCCAACGAGAACCTCCTGGCCTGGGTAAGGTGGCCCTGGGATGGGCTGGGCTTCACGGAGGTCCCTGGTAGAGGCCACAAGGATGCCCAACCTAAATGACCACACTTTTCCCCCTCCTCTAGGTGACAGGCGCCTTTGAGCTCTACATGTGCTACAGCCCCCTGGGGACCAAGGCGTCAGCTGTCAGTGCCATCCATAAGCTGATGCGCTGGATCCGCAAAGAGGAAGACCGCCTCTTCATCCTCACGCCCCTCACCTATTGATGGGAATGCCTGGGAAGCCATGGGAGCCTACAGATGGGGCTGGCCTCTCTTGCCCAGCCAGCAGGCAGGGACTGTGGTTGGTGTGTGCATTAAAGTGCTTTGGGGAAGACACTTGTGGAGGCCTGTCTCTGGTTCCTTCACCTGTCCACTCTCACTCACAGCTGCTGGATCCTCGTCGCTAGCCGCTGTGCAGGCTTTACCCTACACAGGAGTGCATGCACGTTTGAGGCCCTCTCCCCTGCCCTTACACCAGCATCCAACTCAACATTCACAGTTGTTCCCTGGGCTGGAGGTGTTTTGGTTCAGCCGTATGTAAAGGGCTCTACTGCCTTTGCCCTTGGCCTCCTCCCCTCCAAACCCTGACACCTGCCTCCTCTGTCTCAGCCCTGAATGGGGCCTCCAGCTGCATGCCCTGAAGACCACCCAGCCACCTTGGGAGCCTGGCTGTGGCTGAACTGAGGGCAAAAGAAATGGTCAAGTGTGGGAAACCTGAGCCCCAGCATGGGAAGGAGGCCTTGGTGAGGCGTCTGTGTTCAACCCAGGAAGATTCAGCGTCCAGCTTCGCTGTAGCACAGGCCTCTGGGAAACTGCTCAGACCTTCCCATGAAGGGGCTTTCTTCCTCAGCTCCCCTACCTCAGCCAGTGTGTTCCTCAGGATGGTGCCCAAGAATGAGCTGGGGGGTCTGAGAAAGGCAGGAGTAAAGGCCAGTGCCAGTGGGAACATGGCACCTTCCCCGTCACCCTGTCCCCTGCCATGGCATGGCTAGATGCACGTGGGGCCCTGGGCGAGTCCCAGGAAGCTCAGCAGTGAAGGACTAGCTCCAGTCACTCTCCCGTGGAACCTTCTTTGGGCAGAGTCCAAGGCACAGTGCTGCCAGGGGGCTCTCCCGGTTTGCCACAGCCTAACTGTCTCATTGCGTGTGGGTAATGAAAGGTCTAGGGAGTAGTTGTGGGGACAAACCCTGTGTGAATGTGGTCTCCAGACTGTCAGGATCAGCCTCATGCAGTCTGAGAGGCCAAGATTTTCTGCCACTAAAACCAACCCATGCTGGAGAATGTGGCTGTGTGGGTGAGATACGCCAAGGCAGCACTGCAACAGTTGTACTTACTGTGCTGGCAATGGCCCTGCCCTTGGCCCCAGTCTGCATCACATTGGAATGTGCTTGGTTGCAGGTCACCTACCCAAATTCCAAAGCCCCTGGGGAGCAGTCAAAGGCTTGGTGGGTGCCATTCACCCTACACATATGTCCTGGCTCTTCCATCTGCCTGTTTTCTGCTGGTGTCCCTCTCATTGCTCCTGGTCAGGACAGCAAACCTCTGCCCGTGGGGCCAGGGTCATGCCATACCAGGTGACTGCTACTGATGTTCTGCTGGGGAGCCCCTGAGTACCTCTGTTGGCTGCCATGATCCCGGACGGTTTGCAGCCTCTCTGGAGCTCAGCATCTATTTTGGACAGTGACAGGAACCCTCACACAAAGGTGTGTGCACCTAGAGCAATAAACACCTGCAAGTGTGGGGTGTACCTGTTTGGGGATTGGGGTGAGATGCCAGGAGAACAGGGAAGGTGTTCCTGGTATAGGAGCCAGCATGTGTGATGGGAAGGACCTGATGAACAACCTGGAGGAACTGGCTTATGATAGAACTGCGGGTTCTTCAAACTCCAGGTAGAAGTCTGGCAGTGGGGAGACCTTTAAAGCTGCGGGATACTGTAGTTAGAGACACACCCTGTTCCCCCCAAGCCCCGCTCCTGAGGTGATCTCTGAGTTGCAGAAGGAAGCCTAGTCTTTTGGAGCCATGTTCAGAGAACTAGGAGCCCAAGCAGGGTGAGGGGGGCCAGGATGCGTTCACAGTGACAGATGCCAGGGCAGTTGGGCAGGTGCTAAGCCAGCAGTGGACTGCATCTGGTGAGTTCACCTTGGTGAGGAGCTTATACTTGGCACCTCAGGCTCCACTAACTGACCCCTATCCCCCACCCCTGCCGCGTCTTGCCTGCTCTCTCCTGCAGAGCCAGCAGAAGGGGAGAGGGGAAGGGATGCTCCTGAGGACCCCTGCTGTTGAGGACCAAGGCCGCCTGAGGGGCGCCAGCCTGGAGGCAGCTATCCGTGTGGCCACACGGTGGCAGCAGAGAACCAACTGATGACTAGTGCACTCGCCACCCCAAAAAGTGGCTTGGTTGGAGCGACCCTGAAAGGCTTGTGAAGCCTCCTCCCAGCCCCCAGAAATCTCTCATGTTTCTAGGCACATGCTGGGGCCGTTTCATTTCAACTTTACCCCGCGTGACCATCCTTGGACGTGTTGACGGGAACCGCCCCGTGTTTTTTGCTGGGTGTTTATTCATTTCCGGGCCAGTTTTGGTCTGGGAGGGGAGTGACTTTCATGTTGCCTTGGGCGTTGTGTCCTGCGCGCACTGGGTGTGGCGGCCCCGTGTTCTACTTCCTCCCAGTCACCAAGTGCTCACGAAGCTCCTGCCCAGAGGCGGGGAGAGTCCAGCACACCTACGTCTCACACCTCCTTGCCGGTGACAACTCAGGACAGGCTCCCTGAAGGCTGTGCCCTTGTGCGGGGACACTCCTCCCCCACCCCCCATGCCTCCCCTCTGGTCTTCCACCCAACCTGGTCACTGCTCCCCACGCAGTGGACACCGGCGTCTGAGGAGTTGCTTCACAGGGGGAGCCAAGGTTGTCCTGTGCCCGCTTCTCACCCTGACCCCAGCCCGCGTGGGGGAACGGCACGCTTGGGCTCCGGCCTGTTCGCGTGGCCCCAGCCACTCCGGGCCACTGGGGACAAGGTGTGGGCGCCAGGCTGGGAAGGGCGGGCCCTGGACGCGGCGCCTCCGGGAGCCCCGCCCCCAGGGCCGGCCCCGCCTCGGCCCCGCGGCCCTGGGGCAGACTTGGTTGGAACTGCGGCTCGGCCGGCAGGTGAAGCGGCTGCCGCGCTGCCCGCCAGGTGTCCGGCGGCCTCAGGTGCTCAGACCCGAGGGCGGGGGAAGCGGTGGGGCTTCGCAGGGACCCGAGGCGAGGGTCGGCTGCCCTGGGACTGTGGGGACCGCAGCCCAGACCTGAAGCCAGCTCCACAGGGATCTCCGAGGGGCCCCACCTCTGCCTCGATGGGGCTCCTCCCGTCGCCGCCGTTGCTGCTGCTGCTGCTGCTGCTGCCGCCGCCGCCCGCGGTGCCTGAGGCCGGCGGGGACCGGAGGTGCCTGCGCTCCCCATACGAGGCTTCCCGCGACTTTGACGTGGAGTACAAGCTGCCCAGCTTCTCAGCAGGCGGCCCGGTGCAGGCCATGGCGACCTTCGAAGGCGGCGCGGATGGGAGTGCGGTGTTCGTGGCCACACGCAATCGCCTACAGGTGCTCGGGCCTGACCTACAATCTGTCGGGAGCCTGGCCACGGGCCCTGCCGGGGACCCTGGCTGCCAGACGTGTTCAGCCTGTGACCCGGGGTCCCAGGACCCACCGGGTGACACCGATATGCAGGTGTTGGTACTGGAGCCGGGGCTGCCCGCGCTGGTCAGCTGCGGCTCGAGCCTGCAGGGCCGCTGCTTCCTGCATGAGCTGGAGCTGGGCGGGGCAGTGCCGCACCTGGCAGCGCCTGCCTGTCTCTTCTCAGCCCACCACAACCAGCCCGAGGACTGCCCAGATTGTGTGGCCAGCCCACTGGGCACCCGCGTGGTCGTGGTCGAGCAGGGCCAGGCCTCCTACTTTTACGTGGCGTCCTCCCTGGACCCAGCTGTGGCTGCCAGCTTTAGCCCCCGCTCGGTGTCCATCCGGCGCCTCAAGGCCGATGCCTCGGGATTCGAACCTGGTTTTCCGGCTCTGTCGGTGCTGCCCAAGCACCTCGCCTCTTACCGGATCGAATACGTGCACAGCTTCCGCGCGGGAGCCTTCGTCTACTTGCTGACCGTGCAGCCGACCAGCGTGGCGGACGCGCCGGGCGCCCTGCACACGCGTCTGGCGAGGCTCAACGCCGCCGAGCCCGAGCTGGGCGACTATCGCGAGCTGGTCCTCGACTGCCGCTTCGCACCTAAACGCCGGCGTCGCGGGGCCGCAGAGGGCGGGCAGCCCTTCCCGGTGCTGCGGGCCGCCCACTCGGCTCCCGTGGGCGCCCAGCTGGCCACTGAGCTGAGCGTCCCCGAGGGCCAGGAAGTGCTCTTCGGCGTCTTCTCCACCGGCAAGGACGGCAGCCCTGGCTCGGGCCTGGCCTCAGTGGTCTGTGCCTTCCCCATCGACCTGATGGACAAGCTGATCGACGAAGGTGTGGAACGCTGCTGTGACTCTGCAGACCACCTAGCCCTGCGCCGGGGCCTCGACTTCTTCCAGGCGCCCAGTTTGTGCCCCAACCCGGTGAGCAGAGAGCAGGGGCCCTCCCTGAACTGTGTGTGCACAGCTGAGCACAGGACAGGGTGTTTTCCTTGCATCACCGAGGGGTCTGGCAGGGGAGGCAGGCAGAGAGATGCATTCCCTTCCACCCAGCTCCCCTGTGCTGGGGGTGGTCTAAGAAAGGGGCTCATCCCCAGCCCGGCTGGCCCCCGTTGCTACCTTGCTTTGTTCTGTCATTCTCCCGCACATCATAGCCTCTGATTTTCTTAAGTACTTCCCCCGCTCACGTAAGGGTGGTCTCACTTTGCCAGCCCAGCTCCCAAACTCTGGGTAAAATGGTGATGGGCAACCCCTCCTTGCCCACTCCTTGATACGCTCAGGGCCACACCCCGGAAGAAGAGCCCTGCGCACAGACCCAAATCCAGACATGCAGAAGACGCTGGCAGACTCACAGCTGCTTGCCAACAGTTTCGCTTTCCCTCTGGGAGCACTTGCTTTGCTCTGCTTTCCAAAGGGGGTGGAACTGGCGCTGTCAGAGAAACATCCCCCCCCCCCCCAGCCTCTCTCTGCCAGGTTCCAGGGAGTCTCCTAGTCTTTAAAGTCTGGGGGCTGGGCAGGAGCCTGCATGGGCTGGGCTTTGCTAGCTTGTTATCCAAAGGTGATGGGAGGGGGCCCTGGGGGGGAGGCAGCTTGGCTGGGGAAGGTTCTGGAAGCCTCACCCCAGTCTTGTGCAAGCAGCTATAAACATCTGGGAATGAGTAAGGGCCTAGGACGGGCTGGTTGGGGTTGGGCC